TTGCACATCTATTTCACACTTGGAGATCATCATAAAAGCAGGTCTTTGGCTGCTTTGAACTGGGGCAGAGCACGTCAGAAAGCTGGATTCACACAGACATCTCTCAGAGGAGCTGCTATAGTATGTTTCTTGGTGTACTGGATTTCAAATCTGGCTTTATTTGCTCGTTTGTGCAGTATCTCAGCCCGCTGTTTAACATGGATACCAGAAAATGCATGCTATGCAACCTGAACCAAGGACTTTGGTGCTCTTTGCTGTCCCTAACCTAGTCCATTTCTTTCCCAAGTTGTTGGGTTTTGTACTTCCCACCACAGTTCACAAAACTTCATCAGAGTTGCAGTTTAATTTATCTGCCTGCTGAGCTTTATGGAAACTGTAACCAAAGGTGGTCTGTACCAATGGTAATACCTTGTACCACCTGAGAGGTGGGATGAACAGAGATAAAGAGTTGAACTAACCTGACTCTTGCAATGTGCTGGAGTGAAATTTGGCGTTAGGAAGGTTGTTCCCCTTGAGATCAAGACTCATTCTCACCAGAAAAGCACCTTCAGCATTTCTCAGATATGAAATGAAAATTTGCCTCCTGCTCAAGGTGCTTCTTTGCCCCCAGAAGAGCTCTCCATCCTCTTTATTTTTTATTTTTTTCTGGAGGGGAGGGAGGGTGTTGAGCTATTTGGCTACTGAGCAGTGCAGTCAGCAGCCTCCTGAAAGGGCAGGTTTAGGCAGCAAATCCAGGATCCCATTTACCAAATGGCTTCTGGGCACCCTCATCTCCAGTGCACTGCTGCTGATTGCAACAGGGCAACCTGGCACAGAGAAAAAATCACAAAATATTCTTTTCTGAGGAGGCCCTCTTGTGAGAGAGGAAGCTTAGGGATGAAACCAGAACAAAGATACTGAAAGGGACTGTGTCTTTTTTAATGTGCAGCTGCAAAACCCTGTTGAAAAACCTACTGAATTATGTCCTGCTCCATGACATAGGCATAGCAAGAGCCAGTCAGCCTCTGGCCCAAAGACAGAGTTTGGGGCAACAGAGGAGAGAGGAGCAGAGGGAAATGTGAAGGTACTTGCCTGGCAGTGGAGAGTGGGTCCAGGGACAAAGTTCAGAACCAGATCTTTTGCAGACCAATGATTGAATTTAATGTCAGACCACACAAACATTTGCATGGAGGACTGTAAAAAGACTGCCACACTGTGAATGGTCAAACTACTCATGAGATACAGAACTACTTATGAGATCCAGAACTACTTATGAGATACAGAACTACTACCCCTGTGCTAAGGACAGGGGTCACAAAAGTCAAACAGACCTCAAGTCTCTTTCTCCTGCCCCAGCTAAATGGGATCTCACAAACACTTGCTCATGGTGCTTGATTTTGTTTAACTTCTTGATCATTTTTGACAAGTCTCTCCTCAGACTCTGGAACACACTAAACAATGATGATACCACAGTGGAAATTAGACTAGTGATAAATCCAGCATAGTGCTATCAGTAGTTGAGACACTTTAATGGCTCAAAGGTGGCATCACAAACTGTCACCCACAGAAAAGAGGCAGGAAATTCAGGACAGAGACAGCCATGGAACCCTTTCAAATACCAATGGAGAGCATCTACACACATATCAGTGTGTACAAATGCATTCAAGTACCAGCACAACCCCCCACTGAAACTCCATAGTGACTTTTTATAGCTGCATTGGCTCTGGATGTTTTCCAGAAGAATAGCACCATTCTGCTTTATAGGCAAGGATACAGGCTTAGATTATTAACCAAATGCAATATGGAAGATCTCAGCCTATCAAAACTACTTTTAGATGTATTGTGAAATTTTAAAACCTTCCTGAAGTTTACCAGACTACAAGGTGGGATTACTGTTTTAAAAAATGAATGCATAGCTGAAGGGGAAAGTGTTTTATAGCAACTGATAATACCTCAGGCACTGATAGGACATTTTTGCACAGGTTGAAAATGCATTCTTCATTTTTCACTGACAGCTGGTTAAAGGAGGAATGCAGTGAAAAGTCTATAAAAGCTTTAAAGAAACACCAAACCTGGATGGGTCTGCACTTCTGTTTTTCTCCCACCCATGCTAGTAAGTGATGTTAGGTTTTTAACAGTATCATTAAGATTCATTGCCACCTTGGCCTGGAACCACACCAGGAAACAAGGAATCCTCAACACCTTCTGAACCAGGAAAGATTTGGGATTTGCGTCTCTTTTTAATATAACAGGGTAAAAATATTGGAAGCAGGTTTTTTATCCAATTCTTTTTCATCAGATTGCATGAAGTCTAGACACTGCCTCTCCAGGAATGTGGCTTTCATTCTTCCTCTTCCACAGGAAGATACTTTCTGTAGGTCAGCAGAGCTACTCCTGGAGTTTGTTCTTCGTTCTTTTGTCTCCTCCATGCCCGATAGTGCTGATCATTGATTCCTGTTAATGTGTTTTCTTTCCCTGACTTTGCAATACTGTTCTTGCCTCTTTCTTCTCCTACCTTTGAGGCTACTCCTTCTACATATCTTTTGGGAGACTGTGTTTCTTTTTGTAACATTCCCTGGGGCAGTCCTTTCCTCTGCTTCTATTTTCTTCTTTTGTGTACCTCACAGCTGCTCCTTCACACTCATCCCCTCCAACGACCTCAGCTGCAATCTCTCCATCAGCAAAGCACAAACCAGCCTGAGCAGCCATTCTCCATCTTTTCCCAGTGCTCCCTCCTTCCTCTGATTCCCTTCATCAGCTTCCTCTGGCCTGATACTGAGTCGAGGTTTATTACACTGAGGTCTTTCAGTAATTCTAGTTATTATTTTCCTGCTTTTTTCCATGTACTCTTATGCATTTCATCACGCTCTGAACTAGTCTGTGTATTCTCTTTAACAAAAAAAACCCAAACCACCCAATCAACAAAAAGCTCACTGTAGAAATTGTCAATCTTTTCTCTTGTATAGAAAATTAGTCTTGTAAAAAAAAAAAAAAAAAGATATTTGGTGATCTAATTTCCATTAGCAGACAAAATAGCTTTGATATTCTGGCCATTTCTCCTGAAATAGTACAACAGAATGAAGCATGCTTCTTATTTCTTTTACCAATGCATTTATGATTTATTATCAAAATAAATTTATTATTTCCTATACAGGCAGCAAAAAGATATTAAAAAGTATGTATAAAAAAATATTTAAAAATATGTTGCATGGATCCCAGTGGCATATGTGGTCATGCAGCATGATGGTCCAGGAATACTCTCCCAGAAGCACATAAATGGATTTTTGCAACAAGTTGGAACATTGTAATTGCAGAAAGATTCCTGAAAACCCTTCTGTTGCTGCCCTAGTTGGGCATTTGCTCTGCTAGAGTTGCTGTGCTCCACACAGTTCTGATGTCCCTGTAACTTAGTGGGATAACCACTAAAGCTTTCTGATGCTGTCTATGCCCTTTGGGGTTTCCCTCCCTTACACAAACCCTTCCCTTTCTTTAAAACAGGGACTTTGTGAATTCTCATGGACTAGGATCCCATCTGATTTGTCTTGAAAACTTCCCAGAACTTTTTAAGGATACACCTAACATTCTGATTATTAATAATAATAAAAATTATATTATGATGAGAGCAGCAGAACTGCTGCTGGCAGAATTATTTGCAATCCTAATATCACACAATGTGCTGTCCTGAACCTCTGCCCCTCCAGGTAATTTCAGCTGGGGGGTTGTTTTGATTTTCCTTTTCCAATTCTGCTGTAGGCAGTTTTCTCTGCAGCTTCCATCCATTAATCTCAAAGCACTTTTACACAGAGGAATTAATTAAGAGTCTTACACACAAGAATTAATTAAGACAGTAGTAGGCATGTTTTATCATCTCCATGTTGCACAGGGGGAACTGAGGTGAAAAGAGTTGCCCAATTCTTTCACAGAGTGGGAATACACTTGGGCATGCATCATATCTTCTCAACTCAGTGTATAAGAATATCCCTTCTCTCTTCACAATGTGAGGCAAATAACCTGGTTTACCAAGTGAAATACTACTGACACACAGTCCTGTTCTTCAAAATGGAAACTCTTCCCTCAGGCAAATACCTTGGCCAGTCGAATTTCCAAACACATCCTTCTTTCTTAGTTCAGACAGAAAGAAGCACACGGCACGAAAAGCAAACTACTGTAACTCCTGTGAGATCTGATAACATTTATACTCTGCTAAAGAAATGCCCCAATAACTGAAATCTGTAATCTTATCCTGTTTTAACAGACTCTCCCTTTTTCTCAGCATTCACATCTATACTTCTGTTTGATCAAGAAAGAAATAGAAACCTAATGACTTAGGATTTTTATCTGCAGTTCATAGAACCTTTGCAGAGCTGACCTTGTGCTATCCTGCTTTTGAAATGCACCAGTGCCACCTTCAGACCACGTGAAATAGGGCTTTTGAAAGCTGCAGTGATTTTTCTTTTTCCCAGGACAAGTCCTGCTGAAGCACATGTATGAACCTGAGCAGAATCTGCATGTTCACATACCAAAGCACAAGTGTTCACAGGGAACAGGAGTCCTTTATTTTCATAAATAAACATTAATAAAGAGCAATCAAATGCTACTTTTTAATACCTGGCATGAGAATTCCAGTGTATTCCCCTGCCACTGCCTGGGCAGCTCCCATTGGGCAGAGCAACACATCAGCTGGCTGAGATCTGCTCCTGCCTTCCTCCTTAACATCATTTGCCAAGTGCTCCTGGTTACATTAGGTCCCTCATCATTTCAAAACTAAGACAATTGCAATTTTAGTTAGAGCTAGTTCTGAAAAAAAAAGTTAAAATACTTCTCAAATAAAGAATAGGCCTCTGGTATTTTGCATAAAAAATTATCCGTGATATTAGTTCAAATTACACATATTGGACTGAAGAATATGAAATCAACGCTGGCTTGAAAATCGAGGTAGGGATTAACTACTTGTATTAATTTCTTTGACCCTGTCCTACAGTATAGCTGAAAGAAGAAAGTAGGCAGAAAACACTACTCACCCACTGTCATACCATCCATGTAACGCTTGATGATATCAAATGAATCTCTTAAATTTCCTTCTGTAATGTCAAATATGATATCTGCCTGGTTGGCCGGATATGTAGGTGTGATGGCACGAAGAAAAATGATCTCTGCAAGTAAAGAGGATCACAGAATGCACTGACAGGTATTTGAAAACATCGCTGAAGAATCCAACAGAATTTGATCCAAAATGACTTGTCCTCAAAGTTGGTGGAAGACATTACCCTCCCTTACCACTCCCAGTTTGTCCTTTAAAATGGAAAGCAGATCTAAGGGAAGCAAGGATTTGGATAGGTTTGTATTCTCCTCCTATTTCCACCATCCAAGGGCCCTGAAGCCAAAACACTCTTAAAATCAAAAAAGATTGCTCTGAAGAAGCCAATCAGATTTCCAGCATGTGCCCAAAGAGGACAACACCAAGGATCCACAGGCTGGGCTGAGGAAGGGACCAAGCAGATGAACCTCTCTCAACCTCTCCACTCTGATTCCCTAGGCAGTCACACAAAGTAATGCCATTACAATTAAAGAGTCCTTTGGAGTACTGGAGGAGATGTTTAGGTTTAAAAATAAAAGTGAGACTATTTTCAAGTCCCTTGTGAGGGATGGAGGTATTATTACTCTCATTGTTATCCTCACTGTACAGATGATGAAACTTGACTTGGAGCTGTAAGAATTCACCTGAGGCCATGCACTGAATTACAGTTTACAACTTCTGGGCTTCAGCAGTAATCTCAGATCACTGGGTCTCATCTCTTCTAATTAAAACACGAGGATGGACTAATGAGGTTTGGGAAGCATCCTGGGCCAAATCCTTAGCTCTGCTGCCAGTACACCTGGTGAAGCTGAAGGGGTATGCACGGGAGCAGGAGTGGCCATGGGGCATTCCTCCATTCCCTGTGAAGCAGGGCCAGCCAAGGCCTGGAACAGGCCTGACAGAACCTACAGGAGCTCTGCATCAGTGGTTAAATTCTTCCTGTCTGGGCAAGGACTGGGATGGCTTTTTCTCCACTCCTGCCTGGTGCAGAAGGGAAGAGTCAGCTTTGGCTTTCATTTAGGACAACTTTCTGAAACAGTTGAAAAGTTTCAGCTTTTCTGAAAAGTTTCAGCTTTCAGAAACAGCAAGGCTGAGACTTTGGGTACATCAGAAATGGGGATTTAGGGTCTTTAGAAACCCTTCCAAAATAACCTTTCTGACCTCCCTACCCTTCTCTCTGTGTCTGTGCCACTCAGTAAGGTGCTGAGAGCAGCAGGCAGTCATCCCACTGATGGATGCATTGCCAGAAAATCCATACAAATGGCAAGGAGCAAAAACTGGCTCTTGATCTGTAAATTTTTTAGTTTTTATGTGAGCTAAGAAAGTGAGTGAAAAGTGAGTATGAAACTGCAGGACTTAAAAACTCACAAGTACTGGAGAGGATAGCCATTCTATTGGGTGCTTTATGAAATCCTTGTCTTAAAAACTTTCTGCCCGGTCCTTGGAATTTCCCTTCCTTTAGTCTATAACAAACAACACTTTGTTCGTAAGTCAAAAATCAGCCAATCATCATCTACTCAGTATAATTTATTTTGTGATTAATGTCTGCATGTAAGGTTTTTATTCTTGGAACGAGTCACCTGTCAGTAGCAAACAACAGGGCATAGACAGATGAGAGAAATATATTTAGTACCTTGTTCCTACAGCAAAACCTGCAAACAAGGGAAGAAAAAATGTCATGGGGCATATGTCTATTGTGTGATTAAATGTGGTACATGGGAATTCAGAGTCAGTATTTCCTTAGACTGGGAAGCAGTATGAGTTAGAGCTCAGAATGACTTTCTTTCCTCCATAAAATTAAAACTCCTGGGTATTGAAGGTTTTAATTAAATGAATGGTAAACTATAATTTGGAGCTGTGCAAACATTTATTGCACCGGCAGTGAGTCTGGCTTTAGGCAAGGGTTTCTGGTGGAGGTTTTATATGCTGCAGTCTGTTAAATGGAACAAGGAACAAACCACTTACCTTCAGGTCTTGTAAATTCTCTGAACGTGGGCAGTGAAATGACAGTGTGGGAGATGGTGTGGACAGGATCCAGCAGACAGCTGACATCATTTGGTCGACAAGACTTAATGCAACGGATGGTATCTGTCTTTTCTAGTCTGACACTAAGAGAAACCAAAAAAGAGATTCATTCATATAAAGACTGAATATTAAATACTTTGTGTTTTGCAATCCAGGCAGCCAGTAACTGTAATTGATAGAAGTGTTGATTCTTCACCACAAAAAACTTAGACAAATGCAGTTCATCAGAGCTTGGGGACCCCTGAAGAACTGGGTTTGGCTCAGAGTTGCAGTCAAAACCCCCTCAAACCCAGCTCTTCAAGCCAGGCATGTGAAAACAAAGAGAACTGTGGTGCTCAAGATGCCATGTAAGGTCCTTTTCCAAGGACAAACAGGACCAAACAACGAGACCCACACCCTCTCAGCTGGCCTGCTCTCAGCAATTTCAGTGGAGCCACTTTTACTTGCACAAGCCCTTTTACTCAGTCATATAAAGCAGACAGAATTGTTTCTGTTTTAGAAACCTGGAATAAATATGTAAAGGGCCAACTTTCACAATTTTCAGTGTAGCAAGGGCCAGAAGAGCCTCTTTTAAGTCTTTTTTTCACACCCTCCCTTTCCATCTGAAAGAACTGAGAAAACAGAGAGGAATGGAAACTAGGGGGAGGAAAAGTTAACCACATTATTTAAAATCTCAAAGGTTGAATTCTGAGTTTGGGGAAATGGTAAGGATCATTTCATATTCCATCTCAACCAGCTGCTCATTCGGCCTTGAAAGTCTATTAAAAGTTAAATGACTTCTCACCCTTGTCCACTAGAGTGAATTTAAAGTCACTTACAGTTCAAGAACTTCACACAATGCCCACTCTGTGCTCATGAGAGATGAAAGGGCTGTGCTGGACTTCAAATGTGACTAAGCCCCACAAATGATCTCAACTTTGACCTGCCTATTTCTACATATTTCTAAGTGGAGAAAGAAAATGCTGCAGTGTCAGGGGAGGGGGAATGAAAAGATTAAAAGTAAGAAAAAATTACTGAGTTAAAGGGAAACCAAAAAAGGAAAATTTATTTTGCTAGATACTTCTAAAAACAAATCATTCTTGCTCTTTTCAAAATGTCTTATTCCAGTCCACACCTACAAACCATCTTTTTTCAGATGTTCAAAGGGACTTTATGGCTCTATTTATAATCAATATATCAGTAACTTCCTATTACGTGTTCCCAACTCTGCTCATCAAAAAAAATTAATTGAAGCATGATGATACTGTATGAAGTTAAGTAAGGGGAAAACACAAATCAACATCAAGGAACTCATGCTTCAACAGATGTGAGCTGGCACAGTCCATGGGGAGGCAACAGAGCTGAGTTAATAAACTCCAGCTGAGCCTGGTATACAGGTATTATACAGGAATACAAGTATTCACACCCTGTACTTGATGTTTTGAGACTGGACAGGAGATACAGGGCAGAAGAGGTGGCCTGTTCCCTTTTACTTCCCACCATTATCTGTGTACAAAGTCTTGTCATGTCCTAGACACCTCACCTTAATTTATTTTGGGACACTATTGCATATTAAGTAGTGTTGGAATACTTAGAACATCCTAAATTACCACAGCTGTCTTTAGAGAATAGAATTTGTATGCAAAATGCGTTGTGGTGGGAGTGTCTCAGGCATTCAGTAGTGGTCTCCTTTTGCTTCTTCCTGGGAATTAAATGGAGCTTTACTCTCAACTTCAGCTGGAGAAAAAGGCAAATACAAGTATTTCTGAAATACTTTGCCAACAAAGCCATCATTTTGTGCAAGATGAAGTCCTAAGTAAGACTTGCATTCATGATGCTCACCTGTGGGATAAAGCCTTCTGACATGACTTTGGTACAGATCAGAGGATCTCAATGGTCACAAGTGATTTGTGTTAGCTCTCATCTAAACTGAGTTTACAGATCCATCCAGCTCATAACCACACATGTGACAGATAAGTGTCTGTGCCAACTCTATTTCTTTGCACCTTTTGTCTCTCCTCTTACAAATTCCACTAACTTGGGGTTTTGGGGTTTTTTTTTGCATTCTCTGTCTACACTGCTTAACTGGAATTTGTTCTGTCATTATACTCATTCTCTGATCACCTTTCTTTTGCTATCCCTGATAATTGCCTCATGCCAGCATATCCAAAGTGCAGTTGATAACACTTTGTTCTCTCATTGCTTCATCTTTTGGACATCTCTGAACTGGAGTAACTTCTTTCACAACTAACATCTATCTCAAATCCTGATATTTGCTATAAATTATATGCTCTGTTCTCATAATACTTTATAATTTTATCCTTACACATCATCTTTGCATTTCATCTTCTGATTAGCTGATGTTTTCCATTTTGCTCGTGTTCTCCTGCAGTGGGGACAATGACTGGCAAAAGTTTTTTCCTCATTGATGAGAACTTTTTTATTTTTACCTTTCCTTCAAGTTTTCTGCCTCTAGCACAAATTACAGCTTTGGAGGTCATCTTCCCTCTGGGCATTTTCATTTAAAGAGAAAAAAGTTAAGAAACAGCTCAGCTGCTCTGATTATTTCCTGAGTATAATCTTTTCATTCTTCTAAGGTCCTGATATGATTCTTTTTCATATTGTCTCTCAGATTCAGTCAGTAAGTTCTTTGGATCAGGAGCTGTGATTTCATTTTCATTTGGAAAATATAAATAGCACTATGTAATTACCTACATGCTCCTGAAAGTCCCAGTGACACTGCAGCATTCAAGCATCTGGCACAGGGCAACATGAGCTTTGTGCTCTTGAGTTCCTTGCTAAATACAATTAACGTGGCAGCATTTTACGACATTGAGGGCCACATTCTCAAACTCCGTTCTTTTCCTGCCAAAAAAATATATAGTCATGTTTGCAAAAATGAAATTTATTTTTCAATATTCATCCTACTTCATTATGGCCTCATAAGGAACTGGTAGCCAGAGAGCATTTACATATAAGCACCTTCTGTGGCGGTAATTAACCCCACTAGCTCAAGTGACATGGGCTGTGCTCTCAGTATTTAAACCTGGGACTCTCTCCCCAGCTTCTGGCACCTTTATAAGGATGTGTCAACAGGCTTATTAAACACTGGCATTCCTTAGGAGACCTGAACTCCTGTCAGCCAGCTGTGATAAACTTTGCCTTGGGGAACATGTAATAGTCTGGCAGAGTGCTGCAGTCCTGCCCTGATCCAGGCATCCAGGAGTCATTCCTTGTGCTCAGGTGATTAAGGCTCATGCTCTTGCTTTAGAAGGTTCCCAGTTTCCACCCTTGTACCCTGACTGTGCTGTCAGCACTTAGATAGTGAGATATTTTCTCTACAGGTGCATTCACATGGATTATTCCCTGTTCTTCTATGGAATGACTGTTCTGTCTGTCTAATGAGCAGCAGAGACACCTGAGCCCAGGGTAGTGTAGAACATTAATTTTTGGATCATATCTCTGGGAATGAGCTTTTAATATTTATCAGCACAAGGACTCTGTGTAATGAATAAATCCTCTTCCAGCTCAGAAAACAAAAGAATTCGAAAGATATTCCAGTTGTATTGTTCTTAACTGCTTAGAAGTAAACAAGGAAAGTGAAAGCAAAGGAAGAAAGATTTGGATATTGGAATTCTGACTGACTTCTCAGAGCACTTATGGTTTGGTGTGATGGTAGTTGTGGATAAAGTATTTAGTGGTCGCAATTTATCAGCTTTCATATGACAGCTGGAGAGACAACAGTGTTATGAGTCAAATCAAGTATCTTTTTCAAATGTTCCTGTAGATGGGAATGTTTCAGGATATAGCTTGTGAAACAGAAAGGAGCTCTCTGCTATTAGCTGAATGCTGTTATGAAGTTGATTGCTGTTCTGCTGTCATTAGCTTTTCCATTCAGCAAAAATTCCACAGAAAGAAAGATGAAATATCTCTCAAATAAATGTTCTTTAGAGGAGCTTAGCTTTTGTACCATCCTTAGAATCTGGAACTGGGATCTGTACCTGGTGGAAATCAGCATTAGCTCATGGGATACAACAGAGCAACAATAAATTGGACAGCTTGAGAATCTGGCTGCACACTTTTATACTGACCCATGTGCTGGGGCCCCTCAGGGCTCCTAAGGGTCCAGGTTATGCCCTTTTAACAGATTGCCAGAAAATCCACACTATTTGCCACATAAGGGATGAAATTTTCTAGAGATGTCTCAGCTGAGACAGTTCAAAATATTTTCTTTGGAAAATTTAGACCTAAACCTATGTAACTGTGTATGATCAGCTGACTCCCCTGCTGTGTGAAGTAAATTAATAGCTTTCAGTCCTCAGGATGCTCAGGTAATGAACCCTTAGTCACCAACTTCTGCTTTGTATTATGATGCAGAGTACACAGAAGAATCTCCACAAATTAAGATGTTCAGTTATAGGGGAAAGTGGAAAACTGTGATGATGATGGCAAATAAAATGCAAGTGCAGCATGCAACAGATGAACTAAAACTTTATTAAAATCGGGGGGGGAAAAAAAGCTACTCTTAGAAGAGAAAGAGTAGCCAGTGATGGCTGTAAGTTAGGGATCAAAGCTGTGCAGAGACAAAGATAAAAAGTTTGGCAATAAATGTGTTGACAGTTCCGTGGCGGGAAAGTCGCATTTGGATTGTCAGGAGAAGGTCTCTGGGCTCTGTGATTTGACGCTGCATGACCACAAGGCCACTGTGGTTGTTCACTTTTTTTGTGGTGAAAAACCCCTCCTGGTTCCCGCTGATGATGGACAGCTGAATTTTATCCCCAGGGACAGCATTGGAAGGGCCCATGCGGAAAATGTCGGTGGGTACTTGGATGTTGGTGGGGAAAGAGAGGTGATAGTAGGTTATTCTCAGAGGCAGGCTCTGGCACTCCTTATTTTCATTACAAGGCAAGCGCTCACAGCGACTGCAAGAAAAGTGAGAACACAAGACAAGAGGAAGATTAGCGCACATTTAGTGAGTGGGAGGGAGAGCAGGGGCACTGGGGGTGGGAAAAGATAGCCTGGCTTGCATCCTGCTTCCACTCTTCAGCCTGGCACCTCACTCATATTGCAAAGGGACAGGAATTCAATAAGGATGAACTTGCCT